GGTGGTGGGACGAGGGAGGGGGCTAGGGTGTAGTGGGCGTGGGCGGGGTAGGGGTGAGTAGGGCGTGGGCCTAAGAGACCCGGGTTAGGGTTAGGGTACGGTGAGTTCCAGGTATTTTTGCCGTCGTAGGATTGCCGCGGTCGTGAGCCGTTTTGACGTCCGTGACCCCTCCCCCGATTTCCACCACCACGGCCTTGTCCTTGTCCATAGCCTCCACGTTGCTCGGAGTTGCCTTCCCCATAGCCTGTGCCGCCATGCTGTCCGCCATAGCCGCCGGGAGTACCGCCGTGAGTGCCTCCATGGGTGTTGCCGCCGGCTCGGGTCGTGAGAAACGCCGTGGTGCCCGAGACGGAGGGACTCGTCCGTTGTCGATCCAGCAGCATGAGGGCGGATCGAACCTGCAGAAACGTGGGCATGGGATCCTGAAATTGCATGAATGATGTTTGTGCCTAGAGATCGGCAGGGAGACCGTGAAGCATTTGAAGGATGAGTTGGTGTTGGGAGACTGGTGCATCGACGTCATCCAACCAGTCGGCAAGATTCTGCAGTTGTTGGCAATAAGCTGCCATGGTTGAGTTACCGTTGACCGTCGTGCGGAATTCATGCTCCAATTGCATAGCTCGGGTTTAGGGTTTTTGATTTTTAGGCTCCGATACCATGTAGAAAGGTTAATTTCATTGATTGAATATGTGGGAGTACATGTCTATACATACACAAGGATTCCTAATCCTATACAAGGTAGGAGACAATAATAGGAAACAATATATTTACATTAAATATAGAATATATTTAACAAAAAGATACATGATTATACATCTATCAAAAAAGTAAAAAAAAAAAATAAAAACAATAACTCTATAAAATTTCAATATAAAAAACCAAAAATTTCATTAAAAAAATGCAAACAACTAAGTATACAATAAAAAATACATCACTAGTAATTAAATCATCATGGGTCGTGGCAATCAGGAGCATTTACAAAAACAAAAAATGTATCACCATTTCACCACGAATTTTAATATGCAAATTATAAATCAAGAATCAAAAATAAAAAGAAGGTTATTGATGCAATTAGAAGTGGAAACTTAAAAGGGGGGTGGGTTTGGAAATATACCAAACATACCTTTTTCTTTTGCAATTTCAACCCAATAGAGTTGGTCGTACCTCTTTCCTCTTGAAATTGAAGCACCATGAGCGAGATTTGAAACGAAAAAAATAGATCGTAATAAATATTTGGTGTGTGAAAGATTTGGCTTAGATTTGAAAAAAGGGGAAATGGAACCTGAATGGTACGAGGAAGGGGAAGAAATCAGATTGTGTATCTGTAAAAGATGTGGAACAAATTAAACGTGAATTTAGGAGTTGATTAATTGGAGAGAGAAACGAAATATTAAGGAAATACATATTTTCCCCCGATAAGTAAAGATGATTTGCAATTAAGAGTGTTAAATCTGACGCTTTAGATTCATTCTTATTTCTTTCATAAGATGTCATTCTCACAGGAACCTAAATATATATAGGGGCCGATTCCCGTGAGAATGCACCTTGTGGACAGAAATGAGAATAAAATCTAGTCGTTGGATCTGATGCATCGTGCGGCTCATATTGCATTCTCCGCACAGATTTTGAGATAATGCATTTTCAAAGGATTTTGGTGCATTTTGACGTGATGCATTTTCAAACCATTTTAGTGCATCTAATGTTGATGCAATCCCGATCCTTAGACCTCACAATCTAAAGCACCAGATTCATTCTCATTTCTCTCCTAAGATCGCATTCTCATTAAAACCTATATATATATATATATATATATATATATATATATATATATATATATATATATATATATATATATATGCTCACAATCTAAAGCATTTAACCATTAAATGCGATCTTAGGAGAGAAATGAGAATGAATCTAGTGCTTTAAATTGTGAGCATATATATATATATTGTTAAATATATTCAGTATATATTTAGTATCTTGTGTATATAGTAGTTTCCATACATGTATAGTCCTTATTAATTAAGGATTTCTAACATAGTAGGTTTCCTATTATAACTAGGACTACTCTACTATATAATATCCCTTGTATTCCCACATTATGATTATTGGAATATATCAATTCTTCATGGTATCAGAGCCCTAAAATTTTTCACGGCTCTCGCTCCCTGTTTCGGCTCTCTCTCTCGGTAGCATCTCTCTCTCTCTGCCGTAGCTCTCTCTCTCGGCAGCATCTCTCTCTCTCTGCCGTAGCTCTCTCTCTCCCTGCCAACCCTCTCTCTCGGCCATCTCCCCTATATCTCACCATGGCCGAAGTCTCCTCCGTCTCCTCCGACAACACCAACAACACCAAATCTCCCCACCTTGCTTTTACAACAATCTCAAACATTAAACTCCATATCCCCGTTCAACTCAGTATCTCGGAGCCAAACTACAAAAAATGGAGTCGACTCTTTCGTCTCCTTGTTCTTCGATTTAATCTCATGGGATATCTTGACGGCACTATCGTCGCCAAATCGGCCAACGATGCTG